ACAAACACAAACACATTTTATACATTTGTATATCAAATGGGTAATTATATACCGAAAATGACTAATTGTATAACGAACCAGATGACAAAAAAAATGAAATATTTGTTGTGAATTATAAATAAAATAAACTATGGCTATAATATTTAATTTAAATTAATAATTTGCTATTTCATACGATTTTTCCTTAATACTATAGACTATAATTTCTTATAAACTATACTTTAACTTTCTAAAGTTTTAATTTCCAAAAGAAAAAGTAAAATTAGGATAAAGTACGTAGTTGAATTACATTGGAGAGAAATGAGTGTACTGAGAAGTATGCATGTGCGCCACGACTTTGTAATTTTGACTCGCCCGGTGCATAATCTGTCCATTTATGTAACATATCTTTTCTTTTTAGTCCGTATAGAGAAAATTAATATATATTTATTTATTTATTAATAATTTAAATTTAAAAATACATACTTTATTTTTAATGAGATAATTTCTAATTTTTTAAATATTTATGAGTTATGACTTGTCTTAAATCATAAATTTAAAAATTCTTTTTGTCTTTTTAAATTTTATGTCAAGTTAAACAATATTATATAATTGAGACGCGCGATACATTCAATCTTCCCATCGTATTAAATAATCTATGAATTTACTTGTACTTTTTTTTAAAACTTACAATTGCATTAATTAAGCTATCCATTCCTCGATCAATATGAGACTTTAACCCAGTCTAACACTCCACTCAGATAATTCCACTGTATATCAACTATTTAGCCTTGTTTTTAATTATCGATCTTGATAAATTTCTGCAAAACAAAATGTGCACACACGTTCAAGTGTCGAATGTTGTAATTTTTCCTCATTAAAATGGTTAAAGAAAATAGAGGAAAAGGGAGAAGTAGGACATGAATGTGATGTTATAGGACAGGCGCCGACGCAGAGTTTAATTAGTTATACATTCATTCAAATCCACTAACTTTAATTTGGCTTCAACCATATGTGATGTTATAAAAACATTTTTCAATTTTGTCATGTTTGGTTGGTTTAAATATTTTTCAAATTAATTTATTTTCCTCAAATTTAAGGAAAATGAGTAAGGAAAACAATCACTAAAATTCTTTTTCAATTTCACACCTGAACTTTTCACCCTAACTCGTGTCTCAAGTATCGATTCCTGATACAAATTAGGGATCCGACTTCTAATTCTCACTTTGGGACCTCACTACCGAGTCCCCACCTTGATTTGAGACTGAACTCCCAAATTCTGTGTCGGGTCCAATCAGGGTAGATCCTGATTTGGGTGTTGGGTCCTGAGTAAGGATTCCAGATCGGATCTTGAGTTTGGTATTGATGTTAGGTCCTGAGTCAAGTGTCGGGGTGGAGTTCTAAATCGGATTGGAGTCA